GGGGGCGCAGGGCGACACTCACATGAACCGAAGCCCTAATGCCGCCGCCTCGCGCCGCCCGGGAGCAGCAGCCAGAAAAAGGACCCCGTGTTTCTGGCTGCCCGCCGCCAAGCCTGCCGCCGAAAAGCGCTGTGCAACCTGAAGCCCCACCCCCACCCGCCGCATAAGGCACGTTACCGCCACAAACTGCCAGGGCGCGGCGGGGCTGCCGGGAGGGTTTCCCGGTCCCAATGTTCTCTATATTGCTAGGTTTTTTTGCAGGCTCCCGCGAAGGCCACCCCGACCTCGTCTCCTCCTCCCCCATGCCGCAGCGACGCGTCTGAGGGTCCTTCCACACGAGCTGGTGCGGTGTGAAGACGTCATAGGCAGGGGTTTGGGAGGCGGTGGAGTATGACGACACCTGCCCGGCTGCAGAGGGAGTGGGCGGTGCCCGAGGAGGCCGGGCTCTAGAACGCGGCGGGAGAGGCAGCGCGCATGCGTCTCCCTCACCCTGCAGCTGCAGCAGGTACCGCGTATCCCTCCAGGGCATCCCCTGGGCGCGGGGCAGGACTGGGCGGTGGGAGTGGGGGGAGAAGCAAGGCCGAAGCCTTCGTTGCTGGCAGAATGCACCCCTAAGCCTTTAAAGGACATTGTGATCCAGAAAGTGTGGTCTCTTCGCTGGGGCGGGGCAGGGAGCAGAAAGCAAAGCAGGCGGGGAGCAGGAAGCTGAGCAGCAGATCAACCAGGGGGCACAACAGCCGATGGAGAAGGAAAGGAAACAGAAAGCAAATTGGGCAAGGAGCAGGAAACTGGAGCAGCACTTGAGGAGGGGTGTGTAGGACAGGGAGCAGGAAGCTGAGCAGGCAGGGAGTAAGAAAACAGAGCAGCAGATCGGCAGGGGAAGAAGCAGACAGCAAATCGGGCAGGGAGCAGGAAGCCAAACAGCAGATCAGGCACAGGAGAATGATCAGCGGCAGTTGGGGAAGGTGCGGGGTGAGCTTGTGGCACACCTGTCAAAAAGATTGGTTGCCACTGCACTAAGAAGTGGCTGTAAATGGGCAAAGAGATACTTTCCTGACTGCAGACAGAGATCCTGAGTGTGACCCTGTTGCTGTTAGTAGTTTTGTCAGGTAGATGCAGGAGAAGGTGGCAGGTGATGTGTGTTCATTTTCCCTGCTGCCTCTCTGGAGAATTGTGGAAAGAGCAGGGAACCTGAGAAGCCTCGCTTTCTTTCTGTTTCAGGGTCCTAGGGGACTGCAGGAGCAGTGCAGCTATCTGAATGAGGATAGCCCCCCAAATCACTGCTGTTCCCCAATCTTTTCACTACTCCATCATCAAGAGTGTTATTTTTGCCAGGGGGGTAGGAAATAGAGGGATGGACAAAGTTTCTCTCTTCCAGCAACTTGGAATGAGGGGAAAATTTATCTTGCAACTAAAGAGAAGTGGAAGACGTGTTTAGGATGTAAGCGGACCACCCCAGTATGGTGTCTTCTGTTTTTCCACTTGGGATGAAACTGACTGATTGTCTCTGGGCCTTGCTTTTTTGCCTAAGCTAGTATTTCCTGTTTGCTTCTGGCTAATGGTTTCCTGGTCAGTCTATCAAATCCAGCCTGAGACTTGCAAGCTTGCCAGCAGCGCTTTTAAGAAGCGAAATCAAAAAAGTTTCTCTTCCCTACTCCCTTCCCTCCCCTTTAGCTTCTGAGATTGCATCATGTCTTTTTGATCCCTGGGTATTTGTAGATGATGTCTAAACTGGAGGGGTAACAAAAATAAGGCACTCAACTCTAGAGCTGTCTGGGGCTAGCAAAACAGTTGTTTCTGCTGTAGTGAAAGGAAAATAAGTAGTGAGCATGAGGACCAGGAGAGGAAAACACAAACATCAGTCACATAAAAAAGAAAGAGACATGACTGTGTAGCTGCATGCCATATCTAAATGAGATTGTTTTGATGTTTTATTAACGGCTTTGAAATATTTTTCTTTTAACAAATGAGATGGCTTTAACTTATGTTGGTGTAAGAAGTGTCCACAAATAATAACTTAAATGTAGTCTGAAATATAAAAATTGTCTTTATAAAAAGACAATAACCAAAACATCTCAGTCGTGTGTGTGTCTATTCCAAAAGAAGAGTTTAATAACTTACTGTTCTGAGAAGGCTACTTCACTGCCTAATGGCAGGATGCAGGCAAGCAAGAGAAGCCAGTGTGTACATGCAACAAGATTATAAAATTTCTGATTGTGTGCTCTCTCTCTCTCTCTCCTCTCCCC